GGTGGGAAGGAGCCTTCCAGACACTTGTCTTTGCTCCTTTGCCTGAGCTCCTCTGTCAGAGGGCAAGTCACATAAGGGCCACATCCTTCTCAGACCCTGCACCTCAGGTCTGGACTGGGAGCAGCGTTCTGTCTGGAAAAGGAGCCGTCCACACGCTGGCCTCTCTCGGCCTGCCCATCAGAGCTCTTGGTAGCAAGAGACAGAAAGCCAGCCTAGTTGCACTGGGGGAGGGAGCCCAGGGAGGCTGGAAACTCATCACTGCGGAGGGTCCTAGAGAGGGTCCGTGTGATTTCAGAGGACACTTAGGGTGCAGGCTGAAGGTGAAGCCATCTGTGGCAGGCCACGCAGGCCACGGTGCTCTGTGTCCCCTGCCTGCTTCCAGCCCCCGCTGCCGTGTCTCAGCTCCACCCCACTGGCTCCTTTCCCCTCTGTCTGTGCTGCCTCTGCTGCCCCGACCGGGCTCCCTAACTCCCTACTCCCTGCTCCAGCCCAGAACCTCCCAGTGCTCCCGGCAGAGGCCGTGTACCATGCTACACTTCCTCCTGGAGAAGCTGGGGCCCCATGCCCACCAGCCCTGTGCCCCTCATTTCTGCACCACGGTCCTTGTGAGCCCCTGCCTGCTGTGCTCCGGTGCCTGTGGCTTGGCTTTGCCTACCAGCTCTCTCTCCTGGCTGTGCTGTTCCTTCATTTATGCTGCCAGGTTTTTGAAGGGCCTCGGTCGGAGTTTGTAGTCGCTGTCCTTATGTGCTGTGTGAGCTAGGGTATGTGGCTCGATCTCTCTGAGCTTCAGTCCCTTTGTTTCTCTTAGGAGGAGGGTTACACAACCTCTTGAGGTTTTCTTGAGGACTCTGAGGAAATTCTTACTAAACTGCTGTTCTAAGCTCTAAAAGTTTTATTAAATACTCCAGTCGTGTGTGTGTGTGTGTGTGTGTGTGTGTGTGCACGTACAGATGGCTTTAAGGAGGTATAATTCGTATACAGTTCGCTCATTTTAACGTGTACAATTCAGTGGTTTTAAGTACATTCAGAGTTGTATGACCATCGGCAGTCAACTCTAGAACATTCCATCTCCCCTGAAGCAAACCCTGTGTCTGTCAGCCATCACCCCTGATCTTTCCTCACCCCCGGCCCCCACGAGCCCCTTTCCTGTCCGTGGATGGGCCTATTCTGGACGTTCACACACGTGGGCTCACACCTTGTGTGGCCTCTTGTGTCTGGTTCCCTCCCTGAGCGTTGTGTGTTCAGGGTCCGTCCGCGGGGTGGCGGGTGTGGGCGCCTTGCTCCTGCTCGGGGCCAAGGGACGTTCCATTTTTCAGCTTTGGTTTGTCTGTTCATCAGCGGATGGACATTCGTGTTCTTTCCATCTTTGGCTCTCGTGAATGGTTTCGCCACGAATGCTCATGTGCAAGTGTTAGTGTAGATGTGTGGTTTCTTCTCCCTTGGGTGTCTTAGGGGAAGCAGGGCTTAACCCTTTCCCTTCCCCTCTTAGGTTTTCAGGTGGGGACTTAGACTGTCAAGAGACAGATGAACAAAGGAGGAACATACACAGTTTATTAACCCAGCAGCACATGTGCCGGAGAAGCCAGATGAGTAACCCAAGGGGGTGGCTAGGGCTTGGACTTCTGAGAGCGTCTGCACAAAAGAACGATAAACTTGTATGGACTGTTACGACACAGGAGGACTTTGAGTCTGTCCAGGCAACAAGTCGTG